ATGACAGTCATGACTAGCTCTGGAGGACTGGTGAACACCTTGATCTCAGAGATGTCAGCTTTGTCAAGTGAATTAAGAGCCTGATTGGCGCTGTCCAGGGCTGGCAGTGCCTCATCCAGGTCCCTCTGGGCATCATCAGCTATGGCCTGGGTGTATTCAGTCTTGACCTTGGCCAAAGCCTCATCTTCTTTCACTCTTGTACGCACCTGTGGCAAGGATATATTTTTGAAATAAGCACTCACAAAAACTACAGGAATGGCAAAAGGGTATCGTGCTTTTTCAGGAACCAAAACAAAAAAAAAAAATTAAGTACTGTGATAATACTACCTTACCACTCTCACTCTCTCTCCCACATACACACACACCTCGTCAGCAAGTTTCTGGTCAATAGTCAGTTTCTCCATGAGGGCATCAACATCAATGGACTTTTGTTCCAGGACTGGCTCTAGAGTAGACAGGTCCACTTTCATTTTGTCCACAAGCTCATTGGTCTCCAGAAGTTTGGTCAGACCATTCTTCACACGGTCCCTGGCCTATACATGAACACCCCACCCCACACACATATTTTGCATATAATACCTGCAAACACAAGCTACAAAATGAGGTAAGCTGATCACATAAAATATACTAATAACTGATCATAAATTTTGATGTTTTGACTTACAAGCACTAAACGCTGTCTCTTCTTCTCTAGCATGCTCAGGTAGAGGTTGATGAGCTCCAGATAGGAGGTAGGCGTGGTGTAGTACCTACGTCTCAGCTCAGAGTAGAAGCGCTCAGCCATGTCAGTGACACTAACATGAATCTCCACACACATAGCTGATAAGCTCTGCTTCATCTCCTTACTACCAAAATCCACATTCTGGAAGAAGGCCTGAGAGACAGAAAGGAGCGCCTCCCGGGGCCACTGATCACCAGAAAGTAAAGGGTATGAGAGGAAAGGGTGACATCAGCTTTGCAATGAGGGCAAAGCAGTGTAGTTTAGGCTTTTAGCTCTTGTTTATTCAAACAGCGATTGAACAAAGCAGCAACAGAAAGGCATACAAATTTGCAAAATGTAATAATAGAGTATTTCCATAAAGATGCAAATTACAAACTTCTGCAACTGACTTAAAACAAAAACTATTTGCTAACAAAGGGCCCACACTATGCACTCACAAACACAAGATATAGTGAACAATAAATGAGATAAATAGATGGAATGAAATAAGTCAAAAACCATAAACTACTGTACAATCCTAAGCAAGAGCATAATTCAAATTCACAAAAACCTTTGTGAACTGTTCAAAGAAACACACTAAACAGAGTAATATATTGTACATACAATAGAACAGATGTAATCAGAAAAATAACAGTTATTGCTGCATACCTGTACAAACCAGTCGATGGTACAGCAGTTGACCACTGAAGGAAACATGCGACAGCGGGACCTGAAGGCATTGCCCACAGGACTCATACACAGCACAATGTGCAGCTTCTCCCGAACACGAGAGATGAAATATTGGAACACCTGATGGAGAGAAGAGAAGATTCCTTAATTTCAAAAGGGTTGGTCTCAGCAGGCACATAACATCAAAGGCTGATCGCTTAGCAGCACTGACGTAAGCGGAATGCCCAGAGTCCATTAATATTTTGGCCCACTGTGGAAAACAGTGTTCATGTCCATTGTTTCTGAAATGTTATGCAAGTGACTGTGGTCAGTCTTTGGTTTTACTCCTCTTAGATCTTACTGAGGCTTCTGATAATGATAATCATTTGATTTTATTTGAACACACTAAAACACTGGATGGGCATAATGGTCATTGTTTTAGATTGGTGTATTCAAATCATGAAAGGACTCCTTGTGTTGTCACCGGCTGACAACAAATTGGCCTCAGCTCAGTTGTGGGTGTCCTCAGGGATCAGTCACTGGCCTTAGTTTCATCAGGGCACTTTGAAATCTGATCTGGATCTGTCATCTCTGCTGGTTGCCAGACAACCTCATGTTTCTGAGCCCACCCAATAAATAGTCAGGCATATAACCATCATAAAACCACAACATGTATTTTTTAAGCTTCCATTTTGGGAGGATTTAAAAATGAAAAAAAAAAAAAACAATAGGATGATATTTGGTGTGTATTAGAGGTAAAACTGTTCCTTTAAGCAAAGAATTTGATGTGAAATCTATTTATTTGCTGAAGTTGTAGAACATGTATACCGTACATCATGCCACATTATTACTGAGAGGATACACAGTATGATTTCTACAGTAGGCATTTGTGTCTGTGTGTACCTCATCCCTATTCTCCTCACTAATTCCAGCATCTTTGGCTTTAGGGCGGGTGGCAGCTAGTACTTGCTCCAGCTCATCCTTCTCAAAAAGGTTGGGCACCTCACCAGAGTTTAGCATGTTGTTGATATCTTCCAAAAACTCCTCCACCACAATCTACAACAGGCAAGAGAAGGTGGATGGCTGTAAAAAGACTGGAATGCACAAAAATAATGCATAAAAGTGTGTAGTTTTTTCACATCGGCCATATAACTTCCTCCATACCTGAGTGTCTGTAAAAAGAAACACCATATCTTTGCCCTCCATGCCAGCCATCTTGTAGAGCCTCCTTAAGTCTTCATGGAAGCTGTCGTAGTTGTAGCCTCGGCTCAGTTCAATCTCAAAGCAGCGGTACCCACACATATGGGCTGCCAACCGCGTAAGTGACTGTTTGCCTGTACCTCCCACTCCTACTAGCAGGGCATTTCCCCTCTCCTGGCGAATCATACGGGCAATCCTAGAAGTTGAGAAGCCAAAAAGACTTGTAAAAAATGGAAATGTAATGGTTATAAAGATAAAGGTGTTCTATGCCAGATGATCCTTTATGAGAATTTCTGAGCAAGGCACTATGTCTACACATTATATGTCCTGATCTAACACAGCTTTCTCTTTATTTTTGTCCTACCCAACTACATACATGAGAGGGTCAGAATGTTAGGAACACCTCTAAATATAATGCAGTCCAGTACAAGACTACCTTTAATTATGACATCAATAATAAACATATAATTGAATTTATAAATTTGACAATTTCACCAAAAACTGAAACATTTTGAGCTTCATAAACACAGATGTTAAGGCAGAAATGTTACATTGAATTGCATACAATGGTATCGGTGTACCTAAAGAAGTAGCCGGTGAGTGTATTTTTCAGTTGTATAAGAACATGACATATTTTTTTTTAATCACATGTGTAATGTGTTCTTTAATAATAATAGAGTTTTGAGTAGACACAGTGTCTTGCCCAAAAACTATCCCAAAGGACCTAATAAAGTGATATATATACGTATATGAATAATTCCTCACTCGCCCCCCCACTTTGGAGCGGTCTTATTCCTTTCTTCAAGATGTTTCTGTACACTATGCCAGCCACTTGGTTATGGCGTTCCATGTATGCCCTGCCTGCTAGCATCTTATTATTTTTATTATTACTTGTAAACATTATTTTACAAGTGTTCAATGTGGCCACAACAACAGCGATCAACTCAGTGGATCGTGATATTCTAATACGCGCCTGGGAGGAATTCTCTTATCGCATTGATGTTGCCCGTGCTGCAGGTGGTGGCCACGTTGAACACTTGAAAGACAGAAAATAAAAGTTGATTGTGAGTAGAATACTTGTGACTTGGCTGGGGTTTTGTATTACTTTTTCTTAATAAAATATTGCGTAATGAAATCGGTTCATTCTTTTTGAATAACCCTGTATATGCAAACAAGGGAACTTTATCAAAGCTCATCTAAACA